TGACTGCCTAACCGAAGAGTCCGGGTTCGAATCCCGGACAAGGCATGAATGTCCGTCCCTTCATACGAGGTAACGGTAGCTTGAAGCCTCCATAATAAACTGACCAGCCCTTAGCAATGGGCAAAGCCTATAAATGGTTACAGCCCGCCATTGGGATTAAAAAAAAAATGTGCTAACTTCGTTATTACCTACAGCCATATAGTTGACATAGCTTTATGCATAGTATAATCTTACTAGTTTTAAACAAAATTTACCCGTTATAGCAGGACAGCGATTATACTAAAAATACAGTAGAACACCGAATATCCGAATTTTGATTAACCGACGTTCGTATTATGCGAGCCCAATGAAATAAATAAAAAGAAGCCGTTAAAATATCCAAGCTCAAAAGGTAAATAATCTGTAGATTTGGGTTTTAGTAATAATTCAAACCGCAATCCTGAATAGCTAGATGTCACGTAAGCAGCCGACTTTATGACGTTGCGGCATCCACGCAACACGAAGGGGAAAAAAAAAAAAAAAAGGCAGCACAATGAAACAGAAGCCTATTACTTTTTTTTTTTAATGTGTGACACGCTATGTGTACTGCACAGCACTTCATTTATATTTTTCAAGTACGTATCATATTTAATACTAGGATATATATATATATATCTGTACATATATCTAATATCGTAGGCCCACCAGCGGCCGAGCGGTAAAATCGCTGAACACTGGTAGTTCGGTCCGAGGTTCGAATCCTGCAAATGTGAGTTTTCCCCATGTGCAACGTGTGTACGAGCCGTTTCCCTTAGAAAATCCTCCCTCCCCTTAGGCTAGATAGCCCTAGTGTGCTTAGAATACGGCAGTATTCTCAATAAACCGATATATTATATCGCTATGTACCTGCAATTTTCTTTGTATCAATCCATGTTATCTGAGTTCTTGCTTATCCAAATTATCTCGGTTAATTGGGGTAATCTACTGTATTAAGGCGTAATTTCAGATAATCTATGGTAAAACGTAGTTCGATTAAAAAAAAAAGAAAAAAAAAAAAAAAAAAGTGGGTCTGGGAAAGAAAGGAACTTTTTTTTTTTTTTTCTACACAAATTATTTTTATTAATTAAATGTTCCATTGACGGAGATCGAAAAGAATGAATGTTTACAATAAATCAACTCATGAAAATATAAAAGAAAAAATAACAAACTTGCGTTTCAGAAATCCTCTATTAAAATACAGGCAAGATTATAGATATTTCATACAAAAATATCCACATAGAATGGCACTTTTTTTTAATAATTTGTACAATTTTTATGCCTCCGTTTTTAGTAGTTAGTTTACTTTCAGAAAACTTTTTTTTTTTTTTTTTTTTTTTTTTTTTACAAAGCAAAAGTCTATAGCCATAATGATTGGAATTAAACTGTAGATTTGTATAAAAGATAAAGAAGCATTTATTTTTATAGAGAGAGACTGATATGAGCGTGACAGGTCAGGATTAATCACTGACAATAGCAGTCTCTAATTAATATATTGCAAAAATTATTTTCAATACTTTTTTTTTTTTTTTTTTTTTTTTTCCAAATTAGTGATATTTCTGTACAATACTTTCTAAAAATTTTCTGAAATCTCACACTTTACGTATTGGATCTTTTTTCCGCGCTAATAACTGTACTGATTACAAAGTATTAATTATCTTCATTCATATAAAATATTTTTTAAAAACTGGAGAAAGATAAAGCAGTTCGCTTTGTTGCTCTTGATGTTTAACATCATATTTAACATAACGATTTCATTTATTGTTTTTAAACGTTCGTTTCAAAGTATGGCAGTATCAAGAAATTAATTATAAAATCTACTATTATAACTAATTTTTGTTAACCTTTACTGTTACTAAGCTTTGTTTCCCATGGTTTCGGGAAGTTATATTATTAGTGTACACACATCATCGTAAAAACTGCATGTTAAAAAGCCTTTTTTTTTAAATTACAAGTAAAGATATTTAAAAAATATTTAAGCAAGTACTTGCACACATATGAAAATTACTTGAATAAGTAAATAAATAAACAGGATCTACCCCACATCATTTCCGCTAACAAGTAACAAATGACGCAGAATTTTATTATTAAATGCTCGCCTACTACCGTATATAAAAGAGAGTGATTCTATTGAAACACTTCTCACTCATGCGAAACACCAGATGGCAACAACGTATTTTCCCGCGAAAAACTAATGCAATAATATATACTACGGGTTTTAAGCTTGGGAAAAGTTATTTAACAGAAAGAAAATCTCAATCACATTTTTATGTTCATGTAAAATTTCGACATACAAAATTTAATCAAACACCAGTTCACAAACAAGCATAGATAAAATGCTATCAAATTTTTAATTTACGATTATAACCAAAAATTTTGAATCCTGAAATATGAATTCGCAAAGACGATCTGCAAAACTTATGGGTCATTCTTTTTGTTACAGTATAAAATTATTATTCAAGTTTTTAATTATCATGAAGACAAAAGATTACTAGTCACAGTTCGAATAATTAAAACTTAAGACTAATAAAAGGTTAAGTTTATTACTAAATTTATCATTATCTATAAAATATTTATCCTTCTATATAAAACATACGGCTATAATTTTTAAAAGGGAACATCTTCTCTTTATATTTTAATTTTATATTAAGCTGCTTTGAAATCTTTTAACGGAAAATTAATTTTATAAAAAAGAACAACTCATGCTACTTTATTCCGCAAGAATATTTACAGGTTTTTAGCTGGTGTGCATTTCTTTATAGTAAAGAGAGGGGATATAAGTATCCACGAGGGAAAAGGAGGGAATTTAGGAGTAAAAATGTAAAAGAAGATTCTACTAAATTTTCTGCTTTTTGTACATTAGTAAATGATAAAAAGTAGATTAATTTATTTGCAATATTTATAAAAATTAGAAATAATAGATTTTTTAGATATAGCAATACGGCTAACGATAGGAACTGGAAAAAAATATTAGAAACAATAATATAAAAGTAAGTGTTAAATGTGACGATTACTTTTACATTTTTTTAAACAATTTAATAATTCAAAGAAAAGAGTATTTTTAAAAATTGCCCTCATATATATATGTTTTATATATAGCAGAAAATCGTGGCGTAACCTTGCATGCACTTTTCATAAATAATTGCATCTATTTTCGCTGATGTTTAAAACAGCTTGGTTCCATGTCTAATTAGACCCCAGAAGGCTTCCCGCATTAAACCTCCATGCACATTACAGCAGCCTAGTTCTGTGATCTGAATGGATAACGATTATATCATTGTTCCCAAGGTTAGGAAATTGGGGTTCAGCCAGAACGTAATCAAACACCCGGCCCGGAATTAAATATAAACGCATCAGCTGTCGAGCTAAAGGGATATCCGTTACTCTGCATATGGCGCATGCAGGGGCGTCACGGACTGACACGCGGCGCGCGACGCATGCGTGCCAGGTGACCGGGGCAGATGTAACCCTTATTTTACAGCTGCGCACCTATATCCCTTCTGATTACGCATGCGATACGAATCTTCAATGATGCAGGACTAAACTATTAAACTCCAGAAGAAAAATGTTATCTGAAATTTCTTAAACTATTTCCTAAATGTATGCAGAAAAGTATTTCTTCAAATTTTCTTCTCTTTTGTTGTTATAAATGTGTCATAAATGTAGCAAAAATAAGTATACACTGTAACAAAGTAAGCATACATTGTAACAAGATAAGCATACATTCTAACCAAAACAACTTTCTGCCCAAAATTTATAAAACCCATCGCATTAAAAATTTTAAATAATTCAAGCTTCATAACTGCTAATAGTATAAATTGCTATATATGAGCTAACAAAAGATGCCATCAAAATTTTTAAGCATCCATTTATACATATATTTTTAGAGAAAATATGTATTAAAAGCATACTCATTTGTCTAATTGTCAGGATTATCTATATACCATTTTTTTTTCAACCAAACTCATATTCACATTTGATTCTATACAAATACATCAAAATATTATATATATAATTTAAATATTCTGAGCGAAAACATAATATACTGTAATGTACAATTATTAGAGTATTTGTAAGAAAATTTCGCATACTTCATACAAACACATTCTAAATGACACGAACACTAAACAGAGCGCTTCCTATACTATTTAATGAATCTACCATGCCAAAACAAAAAAATGTCGGACTTTAGTTAAATCGTAAATGGAATCCATTGGCAATTCCTAGAAATTAATTATTTTTAAAAATTGTTTCACGTTTAAATTTTATTCTCTCAGGGATTAAATCAAATAAACTCATTATTAGTTTTAATTTTATTACAATTAAAACAATGTTTTTAGAAGCATTGTTTCCTTCCTTAAAATTAAAATACTCGACGTAATTGAAAATGAAATTTCACTCATACAATAGTTCTGAAAATTCTAATATAATAATAATATAAATAATCATAATAATAATAGTAGAATAGAAATAAATAAATAAATAGAAGTTTTGCGGGATATTTAAATACATTCGGCAACAAGGTCTTCGTAAAAGAGTTTAGCCTTTGCTAAATTATCAGATAATTCCCTTTAAGGCACAATAAAGGCTGAATGTGAACGTTTCTAGTTTCTTTCAAACAGAAAAAATAAAAAATACAACAGAAAATAAAACGTATTTGACCTCCGCCTCCTAGCTGATCACCGTTCTGGTTGTGTGAGTACAACTTTCTGGTTCTGCATGAACGTTTTACACAGAGAATGAAAGGTCATAGTATTAGATGCACTTACATGTTCTATAGAATGATGATAAAAATTAAAAATATATAACTCTCCTGGTTTGAATATTATTTAAAAGATGATAAACATTTAGAATTTAAAAGATAATTTTCCATTTTGCAATTAAAGTAAGTTTACAGTTTGATCTAAATAAAATAATCAAATGAACATTCTGCACTTAATAATAGCAATACTGAATTGTATTATACAAGATAACTTAAAACATACCTATCAGAAGTAGCGCTACAGTGAGATGTTCCCTTCCAGTTGCTTTTACTACTCCAACTATCGTTCCAACCACGGAACATAAAAGTCCTAAAGCAGCTATAACAACAACTAACCACCTAATTGCAACGCTGTGCGTTGCTAATAAACCACAACACTGTTTACGGGCTTGTCTACGTGGAGTCACCAGATCTGGAAGAGGGCACTGATTTAATACATTTTGCGAAGGAGAAGTCACAGTGCTCGGCCTCCAGCAACTACTGCTAGCCTGTTGTTGATTAGACCAAGTTAGACTGTTGTTGGCATTATGGTGACTACTGCTAGGGGTGTTACTCAGTTGTCTGTCCATCTGAGCATTCCTTGTCACCCATGGACTGGCAGTGGTATTACTATTCGATGTTGGTGGGTCTCTTTTCCACTGTAGATTTGCGGAATTAGAAGGTTCTTGTCTTTGCTGGGGCAAAGTATTTACTTGATGCCGTGTATTGCTGGTTGTTGTAGTATTCAAGGAAGAATGGTGTAGTCCATCTTGCTGACTTCTAGCACATATAATACCTTGAGTAGAACTTCTGGAAACAAGCTGAGGCTGATGTTGTTGTAAATGAATATCGTAAGAACTGTTCGATGGTAACCTAGATCATAAACTCCACCTACAGGCACCGAACGTGTCCGGGCATGTTGAATATTGGTCGGATTCGACTGCGTGTGGTGAGTGACATCGGGCAGTCTGCCCATGCTAGATTCAGCTCGACGAGTAACGTCCGGCTGATGATTTTCTAAAATTCCTCTGATTCTCCAAGTGTCCCCAGCAGAACGGGTGGAATGAGAATCACTGGAGTATCGGATTAAACCGGAATTGATGTTTGAATTGTAAAATCCTGTTGTAGTAGTGACAGGTCCTCTGTTCTGATATTGATGTACAGAAGCGGGAGATGTATAAGAGCGGCTAGATCTTCTGCATAAGTCAGGATAACCACTGGTCCTTCCTTCTAGGACATTATTGTTGTTGCTCAAATCCGGAGGAGGACGTGTAGCCTCCCAGAACTGGCGAGATATGTGACTAGGATCAACTCTACATCTTGGGCAAGATACATGATTTCGAGAACGGTTTCGAACTTCAACTGGGATACTAAGGGAGCGGTTGAATTCCGCCATCTTGATAGGAAAGAGTTGAGAAGAATCGATCGTCGAGCATCACAAACGCTTCACCACACCGAACTATTCTCCGTCCACCAAACGCAAAGATGACACTGAGAATACAGACTCGGCTGCAGTGAACGGCTTTTCCACTCCCTGTCAGAATAGGAGAATGATGCTATTGCCATCTATCGGTAGCGCAGAGAACGAAAATGTATCGAACAAATTTTCGGTAGGAAACACAGTTCGAGAAATATACAACTCAATTTCTGAAAATTCCTGTCGATACATGTATTGCTAAATGTTACAACTTTGCTCAAAACTGTTACTCTTTACAAACTCCAGGGAATGTTTTCTTCCTAATTGCAAAATGATTTTTATTTAATAATTGTATGATTGTATTGTGTGATCGTCAATAAACTTTCTGAAAATCCTAAAATTTTAAGAGACAAAAATTTGATTTTGCGGAAAACAAATAAATAAAACTGAAGAAAACCTAACAAAATAGTTTTTAATACATGAATAATATAAATAAATAAAATAAAAATTTTGTATTTTACCAGAATACTATTGCAATTTGAATTTTATATTATAATACATGAAAAGTAAAAATAAATAAATAAATAAAATAAACTTAGAATTTCTTATGAAAATACTAGCTTAAGATATTTAATTAATCGGTTTTTATTTAATTAGTTCAGTTGCGTGTCTGTCATTCAATGGAAGAATGTAAAGAAGCTCTTAAGATTTTAGGACATAAATTTTTCAGTCTTGATAGAGAATATATAGTAAATTTAATCATATCTAATCATCTAACCGTCATTATATATAGTCCATCTAATCAACATCGTGATAATATAACCACTATTATAATATTATTATTAATATATTTTCTTCAAATTTTAAATGTTCTTGGAAAAAATTCGTCAGGTTTCGATGCGCAGACAGAGAAGATTTTTATTAAATATTACATATGACGATTTTTGCGAGGGCTTATTGTGTCCTTTGTCATCGAATTCCTGTAAAAATAAAGAAAATGAAGCTGCTTATATTTAAACCAAAATTATTTGTTATCATGCACTGAAAAATAAAATATGATATCTAACATAATTTAAACAAAATTATAGAATATTAGGAAGTTAAAAAAAGATGATTCATATTTAATTTCCTGTACTTAATCATTAAACAACAAAAATGTTCTTATGCATTAAAAACCAAATTAACATAAATAAGTTTTCGAAAAAAAAAAAAAAAAGTTGGTTCAGTAATCTAACTCTGATCTTTTCCTTTAGTTCCTCATTTTTACTTCCTTGTACGAAGTAAAAAGGAAATATTGTAATCGCGAAAAGTTTCAGGTAGCATATTTCAATGAAAATATCCATTTTGACCGCTATCGAATGCAATTTAACGATGTTTTTGCGTGATATCTGTACGTAAGGACAGAATAAAATACTCTTTTCCTTCAAAAAAATTATAAAACTGCTTTAAAATTAATTCTGAAGAGAATTTTTCGTGGCGTCTGTACAAACGAACGTACGTACGTACGTACGTATCTCGCATAACTCAAAAACGAGTAGCCTCAGAACGTTGAAATTTTGTATATAGGACTGTTATAACATGTAGATGTGCACCTCGCATTTTGATTGCAATCGGTCGCATCAGACGTATATAAATATATTTATATACATATCCGCTCTGTTACCCGGCTCAGTGATCTCAGTTTCTTTACTCTTATATGTTTGTAAATTGTTCCTTTTTTGCTTTAAAAAGGATTGTATTATGTTGTTTTTATCTTCCGGTTAAGGTTTTTATGCCTTTAGTAAATCTGTATGAAATATTTTTAGAATTATCAATAATTTTAAAGTTATCTAAGTGCCGCTAGGCCTTTTTTTTATGGCGGCCATTGATGTTTACATTTGAAACAGGAGACTAGTAGATTTGTTGCCAATCTAGAGAAACTTAGCTTCACAACAACAAAGATAATGCATTCATTTATTATTGCCAATTAAATCATGCTTAATTCTTTCTGGATTTTTTTTCCAGGAAATAAGTGTTTAAGATTTACTTCGTAATTTTTAATATAGATATTGTGAGTTTTTATGTATTTTAGCCTTCTCGCGAAGTGAGAACTGAATTAATTAAATGAGAAATACTCAATCGTCTGTGAAAAACTGTTTCTTTTTTGTTTTGTTTGCTTAATTTCTTTTATACATCATTCTAGCTTTATTATAGTATTTGAATAGAACATGTATATATGGCAGCGATTAGATAATTCTATTCTTTAAATGATATAAATTTTGTGCATTATGAGTTATAATATGAACGAAATGTATAAGTTAACTGTTATATAATTATTGGATTATATAACAGTTAACTTAGTTTCCGTTATATAATTATTATATAAGTTAACTAATTATTATATAAGTTAATACTGTTAAGTGAATCTAGCGCCAGAATGTCGCTATGGTAAACAAATACTAGAGTGAATTTTAAAGAATGCATTTATTCTATTGTGGTTTATGTGCTGTCGGCGAAGTAGATTTAATTCAATCCAATAAGATTACATGAAATGCAAGAAAAAATGCGTATAATTTAATATTCCGTACAAGGAAGTCATGTGGTGTACACATGAGATTTTTTACTACTATGCTGCTGCCATGAACGTTGATCGTTCCTCTTGTATTGTCATAGCATATGCATTTATAAGGAAAGTATCTTTTCCGCGCTACAAAACAACTACATTACAAACTTCTCTTAAATCTAAATTTCTGTTGCTCTTCATACAGTCATACGAGACCTATTATACTCAACTTGAGCTTTTCAGATTGCACTTTTTTAACCATTGTAATTGATAAGCATTTGCACACCTTGCACACAAAATAAATAATTAAATAATAAAACTTAAAGCTTTCAGATTTTATATTACTCTCAAAGGAGCGTTTTTTTAACGTGTTGTGTATTATCTTTATTTATTAAATATCATTTTCTTCCCACTTGAAGAGCATATCTTTAGAATTTCTGATACACAGGCTCGCGCGCTGGAGATATATTTTTTTTCCTTCGTAAAGTGTTGCCATTGCTCGCTTTGAAATCGTTGAGTTTGTAAGTCAAAAATTCGTTGAAGTGTTACAAAATATGAAATAGACAATAAAACAAATTCTAAATTTCAACTTTGGGCTTCCAGATGCCCATAAGACTACGTTATTAAAAATTTGATGTTTATAGGTACCGTTATTTTTTCACAGTGCTTACATTCATGCAGATTCTTCATTATTTAATTTCTTTAAATATAATGCAGAGGTCTAATATTTGGTGGCAACAATTTGAAATGTGAAACGCCGTTTATAGTGAACCAACGCAAAAATGCCAAAACGAAATTAATAGCCCTTCTGGGCAACTGCTCTTTTGGGCTTAAGGAATAAATAAATAAAAAGAAAAGAAAATCTGAAAGGTTTCAGATTTTAAATTACGTCCAAAGGGCGGTTTTTTTTTTTTTAAACATTTTGTCTGTTATCTTTATTTATTAAATATCATTTTCTTCGCACTTAAACCATAAAATTCAGTTCAAGAGCAATATCGCAAAATAGTTTTAAATTGAGCATATCATCAGAATTTCCGATACAGAGTCTCGCGACAAATAATAAAAGCAATTGATGAAATTTCCGCGAAGGAACTTGTGGTGGACATTTATTGACAAAACTGGGTTAAGTGAAGGAATTAGTGTATAAGGTAATTTCTCCCGCTTTCCTAGCGTGCCTTCGTGGTGTAGTGGCTCTGCACTCTAGGCCGGTATACCAGAGGTCCGTGGTTCGATTCCCGGCGAAGGCGGTTGCTAATTTTTCATCTCTTCTGCTTCCAAAAATTACCTGATGTCTCTACAATTGAATCACAATCCTGAAGAGGTGAGAGACAACACTCTTGTTAACATTGATCAGGAGCGGAAAGTATGAACGGTGACAAATTTACAGAGGGACTAAGAACTGAGCTTTCAGAAACGAAAAGAAATTTCAAAAACTGTTTCATATTGTTTCAGAACTGTAACAAGAAATTATGAACTTCTATCCAAATCTTGCAAAGAAGCAAGTAATGAAGTTTTGTGAATAATTAACAATGGGTCGAAACAAATAAAACGTAAAAGAAAAAGAATGGAAGAAATAAATATCTAAATTATTTTAGATAATGTTTTGCTTAAGCGGAAGAATGTAAACTTTTCTTATATCGTAAACATATAATACTTCATGA